TGAAATCCATCACTATCTTTGCAGTTACCCTAGAAATCCGAAAAGTAAGCTCAATTGTTTTTCTTTATTAATGTATTCATAGTCTCAAACTTCTAAGTGGGATGGTGATTTTAATATGACCTGGGAGTCCCCCTTTGGGGAGCCAGACATCCATGTGTGTGCTTTCTAGTCCAGAGTCAACACTGTTGGCTTCGGAAGGAGTCAAGAAAGTAAAAGAGAAAAGAAATCCTGTTTGCAAAGATATTTAAAAAGGACAAAAAAATCAGGATCTTAAGATTGTAAAATGGATTCTGTGCACATGTCTGCAGTAACTCTCCCTGTAAGGTTAAGGTCTCAGAATGTCAAATGTTTCCTCTTTCTCTGTCTCTCTAGGTGTGGAATTCTTATTTTAGCCTAGCAGTTCTGTTCATAAATCAGCCAAGCCTTCAGCTAGAAATCATCACTTCAGCCAAAAGGAAGAAGATTCTAGATAAGTAAGACAGATGTCTCCTGTTCATCTCCCTACCACTCGCCCAGGTGGGGCTATGTTTCCACAAGAGGCTCCTTCAGAAGTCCACAGGTTCTCTGCTGGGTAGTTTCCCAAGGGGCCAAGTGTGAGAGTTCCTTCAGAAGTCCACAGGTTCTCTGCTGGGTAGTTTCCCAAGGGGCCAAGTGTGAGAGTTCAGTCAAGAGCCAAATGGCTTATCATTTGGGGAAGCGTTAGAAACAAATGGTGCTGAAGTACTGTACTCATAAGGTTTGCAGTCCTATCTTCCTGAACCTTCTCCTCCTAACAGCTGGTTTCTGTGTTACTATTCCCAGGTATGGGGACATGCGTGTGATGATGGCTTATGAACTCTTCAGCATGTGGCAGAATTTGGGTAGGTTTTTTCCCCCTAGTCTTGCCTTCCACATATTGCATAGCCAAATAGAAAGTAACAAGACTAATAATTTTTCCAAGGCTTTATAAATGTTAATTCAGACCCAAAAGATCCTTACATATCTTTAACATAGCACCTCAGATAGATGGTGTAGCATATGTACATGAAGCCCTTGGCAGGGAGAGTTTGGCTGAAGAGTAAGAACCCAGTAATATATATGCACAATCCATTTTTTGAGAACTAAAATCAAAAGGAAATAAAAAAGAAGAAGAGAAAAACTAGTTTTTTTTTCCAGTTTGAGAACCCATGCCTATAAGCTCCTCTGTGCTCTTCCTGTCCCAGACTAGATGTTGTAGGCTCAAAAGCATAGGTCTTGGAGGTATACAGCACATGTACAAATGAGGCTATTAATTTGAATAAAGATTGAAACACTTCTTGGGTCTCTGGTACTCATGCATCCAGATCAGATACCTGACACTAATTGCATGAAGGAACATATGAGAAGGGAATTGTAGCCTCTGAGTGAGATTGATTTTGACTTCCCTTCTTTGCATAGCTTCTATAATATCTACTGCTTTGAATCTAAACTTGTCAGATCAGTGTTTTGGGTAGAATTTTTGGGTTGTCATAGTGACTGGTTGGGCCATCCTGTGATACTTTAGTATTCTAAATGGCCTGTCAGGGTGCTAGAGAAGCTACTGTTACTGTTTCAAGTGAAATCTGCTTTCAGCTGAGCCCATGGTTCTAAAGCTGTAGGAATGATGGTCATAAAATCCTCTAGTCCTCTGTTAATCATCCCTGCCACTAATGTAGAGGCAACAAGCAAGGTGTGAGTTATTCCTGCCATCAGTAGAGGCTTCTATCCCTGGGTGGGAATGCATTTCCCCAAGCCAACTTTCTAGCTCAGTACTCTTATTCTCTGTATCCAGCACAGTTTGGATATGGATTTTAACCCTGAAGATGACTCCAAAATTCCCAGGAATATAAGAGACTGGCAATTATGCTAAATACCAAGATCAGAACATACAGAATCAGCCTCAGGGCTAACATTTACTTCTTAGATAGACTTTCAAAATTGAAGAAATCAAAAAAGATGCCAGATTTGCCTGATAAAGCCAGTCCTGGTTCATTGCTTTTGGTGGAAATGACATTCTGTGGTCCCCAAGAACTGGTTTTACTTGGCTATAGCAATCATTGCACATGCCCACAATTTGTCTCCTCCTTAGTCTCTGAAGGACTGAAAGCAGAGCTCTGGATGATGGTTCGCTCTGTTTCACCTTTGCAAGAAAAGTCCTATCCCACAGTCCTCAGGGTTGACTCTGGCTTCAGGTAACATGGCCAAGATGCCAGGCCAGTCAGAGGGAAACACACACTCACTCACTTACCATGGAAAGGCCTCATTAAGGAAGTTGAGGGATGAGCTGAGCTGAGCTGAACAGGTGAAGTGCTATCATTAGAAATGCAATGTGATGATAGGGGGTTTCAGGGTGGGCAGAGGGAGCCCATCAGAGCAGGGCTGTGTAGGAGACTTCTGCTAGCTCAGGAGGTGGACCTCTTCATCATACATGAACACAGGCAGTGAAAAGGTCCATGACCTGTGGGGGCTGAATATCCTCATCACTTAAAAAGCCTCCGGGCTAGAGTTAGAAACCCCAAGGAGAGTGCATTGTGCTTAAGCAGAAACATATGGATTTTCCTTGCTAAATAAATGCTATGAATAGATCTGAAACTATCATAGGTTTCTGAAACTATCATAGGTTTCTCAGAAACTCATTCTGTCCAGTGTAGCAAACTCTACTCCTTGACTTCATAGAGATTTTCAGGTAGTTGTGGAACCTTTCAGGAAATCCTTTGGAACAGTTTTGTGCCTATTGAACATTTGCTTTAACTGGGCTGAGCCAATTTTATCCATGAACTCTAAAAAGTTGAGAGAAAGTATCTCAGAAAACCATATGAGAGACTTGACTTTGCTCTCAGAAGCTTACAGTACAGATTATAGCATGTGCTAAGGCCCCATTTGGGAAGCTCCCATGGAAGGAGAAAAGTAGGCATGAACTAATATGTTGGCTGTTGACTTTTTTTGTTCAGGTGAACATAAGATCCACTTTATTCCGGGAATGATTGGTCCTTTTCTGGGTGTGACACTGGTACCACAACCAGAAGTGCGGAATATTATGATTCCTATCTTTCATGACATGATGGACTGGGAGCAGAGGAAGAATGGCAACTTCAAACAGGTAAGATGACACCTGGCAGTATTCACGGTGCTCTTCTCTGGGATAGATCCCTTCTGTTCAGGCAGGTGGCCTAGATGACCAGGCCATGGTTTTAGTGAGGATGGGCTATAACTTGGTCAACTTGAATCCTATTCAAGGATTTTCTCTTACTTGCTGGCCAAAATTGATTTTCATATTTTCTTTATGAAGTCAGAGGCCAGAAAAGAATCAGAGGAAAGGAATGAACTTTCTGATCAAGGAGAAAATGACTGAGATTGTAACCTCTCCAATTCATTCAGGATAGAGCCCTGGGAGCATGTTATCTTTCTTCTCCAGCGAATTCCCACCATATGGTCCAGGCATTTCTAGGGCTGGAGCCCAGACCATATGACTTCCCATGACTCAGGGTAGCCCAGGATTTCACAGACTACTGCACACAGGTGTTGGTACAGGAGATGCAGGCCCCTTGCCTTCTGACCAAGTGGCTTCAGACTGTCTTCCTGTGCCTTTCTTCTGTCACCACTGAAGTGGGGGACATGGTCCCTGCCTTTATATCTGAAGCTCCAGGGAATAGTACTAGGACCAATAGGGGCTGGAGGTAGAAAAGCCAATCTTAGCCAATAAAAGAAATAACTTGCTAGCAGCAAATACTATCCACTGTGAGCTGTCCTGCTTTGGGAGATAGGGAGTTTCTCTTTGCTGGTGATCTTAAAACAGAAGCTCCCAGGAGGCCTCTAGGGGAAATTTCTGCATTGGCTTGGGAATTGTACCAGTTCCCCACTAAGCTCCCTTTGCCTCTGTGATTTTGGGATGAACCAGTGGTCTTAGAGTAGTTAACTGCAACAGTAAGGAGCAGACCAGGCAAACATTAGGCTCCAGTGGACTGGTGTACTCCTGTTTGTCTGTTGTACTCTGCTGCTCCAGGTACCCTCCCCATCTTTTTGCTCTGTTCTGGGAAGCACAGTCTACTTGTATCTCCATGTGTGAAGGAAGATCCCTTGTTATAATCAGGCCCTTCTCTTGGGAAGCTTGTGGCCAGCAGGTTGACCCAGTGAGGCAAGGCAGGCTCTGAACTGGAAGTAAGATACCTTGACTTCTAGACCTAGCTCTACCTGACTTTACATGACCCCAATCAAGTCTCTACTGATGCCTTTTCTCTACACAGCGAGAGTGAGATGGCATCGACCCCTAGGACCCCAGACTTCAGACTTTCTATTTTTTCTGAAATGTATATTCAAGCAACTGACTCATCAAGCCAGACCATAAATGTATGGTCCCTGCCCTGGCCATGTAGCAGACCACTATTAAAAAGGCTGTATTTATTCATCCATCCTCATTTTCTGCTGATGGAACTTCAGAGGCCCTATTTGCCTTTAGTGATTTTACTGTTATAATTCAGTTATTCCATTATTGCTTCTTTGCCTTAGGATTCTTTTGTCCCTGTGTGGAGTAAGAAAAGGCTTCTGTTATAGCACATTAGTAAATGCAGCCATGCTGGGTTTTATTTTGTTTACAAGAAATATCTATATAAATAATACCATAATGCCACACTTTAAAGGCTTGTAAAAGTTTTAAAAGATTTTATTGTACATCACTTACAACTAATTTCTCACCTCAGAATAAATCCAATGAAGCCTAGAAATTAGAAAGCCTAGAATTAGAAAAGTGGTTGATACATTCACAATGTCAGGTTCATTAAAAAAAAAAAAAAAAAAGAGGGCTGGGCACAGTGGCTCACACCTATAATCCTAGATCTCTGGGAGGGGAGATGGGAGGTTTGCTTGAGGTCAGGAATTTGAGACCAGCCTCACCAAGAGTACCCCGTCTCTACTAAAAATGGAAAAAGTTAGTCAGGTGTGGTGGCACGTACCTGTAGTCTCAGCTACTCTGGAGGCTGAGGCAGGAGGGTCATTTGAGCCCAGGAGTTGGAGGTTGCAGTGAGCTATTATGATGCCATGGCACTCTACCTGGGGCAAGAGAGTGAGACCTTGTCAGAAAGAAAGAGAGAGAGAAAGAACAGAGGGAGGGAGGGAGGGAGGGAGGGAGGGAGGGAAGGAAGGAAGGAAGGAAGGAAGGAAGGAAGGAAGGAAGGAAGGAAGGAAGGAAGGAAGGAAGGGGGAGGAAGAGAAGAGAAAAAGAGGGTAGAGGAGGGGAGGAGAAAGGAGAGGAGGGGAAGGGAGAAAAAGAGGGAAAAAAGTGGCTGAATGATACCCTTGCAGATCCATGGGGTAGGAACAAATGTAATACTGCTCCTCATGGTTTAAGTATCCAATAACAAATTCAGGGGGCTCAGTGAGGGGGCAGTGGCAGGAACAGCAGCCCTCAGGCCTTTAGGTCCTGTGGATACAAACAGTGGAGCCTGTTATCCTGAAGGAAACACTCACATCTCATTCAACCCCAACTAATGCTACCCATTAGAGTGAGGACCAGCTCCCCAGCAAATTCCCTTCCTTTTTGACTAGTTGACTAGAGGGCAAAGTTCTAACCAAATGTGTTTTTTACATACAAATTATTTTGAATTAATATCTTTAAATAAAGAAAAACACTTGACAAAGGCCTCTTTTGAAATCCAAAATACTTTTCTCTCCAGGAAATCCTTGCCTTTTGCCCTTTCTCCTCCACTTTGCAAAGCTGAGGGAAAATGGAGTCCAGGGGAGCCAACTGGGTCAAATACACTGGGAAAATTTTAGTAAAAGAGCTATCAGCAGGAGAAAGAAGGGGATGGAGCCTGGGACAGACTGCCAAATTCAGGCTCCACAGCAGAAAATGATGGAGGAGAGACAGTAATGTTCTTATGAAGCATTCAAATGTTGTGCATGGATGAATGAATTGAATCAGAAAAAGGGGCTAGAAACCAAACAGACATAGAGAGTGGCTTCTGTTATAAAGACAATAAGCTGTAGTGGGCTTATGTGGAATGTGAGGCTGAAGTGGGCATTGCTGGTGTAGGAAGGGAGTTTGGTAAACACAGACACTTACATTAGCCTTCCAGAAGGTTTACAAACCAACCAGCCTTAGCAAACTAGCCAATAAAACATTCACCTGTCCAGCAACTTAGCTAGTTCAGCCCTTGAGGTTTTTCTTACTAGAATCCCAGCTGCCATTGCCAGCAAAGGCCCAGAGCTGTAGGTATCAGAATGGAAAGAGGAGAATCTGTACTGACATGTCTTTCATTTTGCCCTGAATCATGATTTATATTCATCTTCTAGTCTGAGTTCTTACATTCTCAGCCAGATGGTTAAGAAGAATAAAAGTTAGGATGGAAGGAATGACAAATAAGGAGTGTCACTTGAGCTCAGGAGTTTGAGACCAGGCTGGGCAACATAGTGAGACCATTAGATTAGGAAAAGGGTACCTAAGACTTTTAAGTCCTACCTGTTATTTAAACCACTAGGCTGGGAGGCCTTCCTAATTTGGGGAGGACGTTTTCTTGGTGCTATAAATGAGATCCTATCTTCTCTGGGATTTGTTTGGAGCAAGCAGAAAATCAAGAAGCAATTTCTCACCATTCTAACCTATTGCAGGGACTGGATTTCTCATTCTTCCTCTAAGGTTGGCTCAGATTTATGAAGTCTCTGCTTCCTTCTAGGTGGAGGCTGAGCTGATTGACAAGCTGGACAGCATGGTGTCAGAAGGGAAAGGTGACGAGAGCTACAGGGAACTCTTCAGTCTGCTGTAAGCTGCTCTAGCCCCAGGCGCCTCATACTGGGGAAGGGAAGGCAATGAAGGGTAGAGGTTATGACTGTATTGGGCAAGCTTTAGAGATTAGTTGCCAAGAGAGTAACTAATGTTACTAATGTTGTTCCTGGTGCTATCAGTGCTTACTTTCTGTCAACAAGAAAGCAAACTCTCTCAGGGATCACCATAGTTGACTGAAGAGGTAGAAACAGGTGATAACTCTGATCTCCTAGATTTGCTGACAGGGAAAAGGATCATCATCTGTCTTCATAGCATGTACTGCATCCAGTTGGGCAAACAGCTCTTAGGGACTCAGTTAGAGGTCAATGCTGGCATTTCAGGGAGGGGGGGAATAAACCCTCTTCTGAAAGAAGGGATCCTATTTGCCCTGCTTTGTAAGATAATACAGTCAGTTTAAAAAAACACTGTCATACCTCCTCCCCAGGCCAGTCTTCTGTGTATGAAATGAAGTGGTTGTTCTTAATAACAACAAGGTTTTCCAGGTCCACCATTCTGTGGCTTCTGTCTTGAGTTGATGGAGGCCTCTAAGAGACCTAAGGAGGGACTTAGGGGAACTATGGCCCTCCCAGGTAGATAGTGATGTTGCTATTTTATCTTGAGAAATTTTGAGACATTTACAGCTCTAGAGTAATTCTTATTCATCATTTCCAGCTTTGATATTTTCTTGTTTTGGTGCAGTTTGAAGAAAAACATTATTTTTCTAGTCATAATACTGTAAATTTTCTTACAGCTTTACAGTGTACAAATTGTATTGACGTTTCTTATCTTATTTGATCCTCACAACATACCTGCAAGGTGGGCAGGGGAGAGATTATCCTCCTTCCCCCCTTAGAGGTAATGCAGCTGAGCTCAGGGAAGTGCTAGCATGTCCTCAGTTGCTTCACTAGGAAGAGGCAGCTCTGGAAACCAGATCTTATAGTTTCAAGTGGCGGAATCTTTCTACTCAACCATGCCTGTTTGTTTTCTTGATGAGTCATGAGAGAAAATGTGAATTTACTTTAAATATAAATATAATTTATGAAAATGAATCCATCCTTTAGTGTTTCTCTTTTAGCTGAAGATATTTCTAATTGTGGAAACAAGGCAGAGAAATCTCTTCCTTGGCCACTAACAAGTAACTTTGCTACAAAAGAAAAAGTACAAAAATAGCCCACAATTACTAATTACCTGACCAAATAGTGTTCATAAACTCTTTTAAAATCAGTCTGAGAACTAAGAGCCATTGGTAACATGGATCAACATTTCCATTGGTATTTTGGGAAGATATTTGTAGGTATGCTGAAAAAATGTAAATCATGGGCTAATTAGTTTAGAAAAGATTCAGTTAAACAAGCCTCTTTAGGTAGTATGCTCCTATAATCCCAGCTACTCTAGAGGCTAAGGATTGCTTGAGCCCAGGAGTTTGAGATCAGCCTGGGCGACATAGCAAGACCACATCTCAAAAAAAAACAGATATGAAAAATCTCTAAAAAATATAGTGATCAGCATTTCTCACACCTGTGTGCTCACCTCCCCCTGTCCTCCAGGACAGAGAGCTCTGTAGAACACAGTTTGAGAAATGCTGATACAGTGGCTTTATCCACACAGCTCAGAGGTCAGAGTCAATAGTCTTGCCTTCTCTAACAACATCTGTGACATGGGAAACTCTCATTTTGCCAGAAGCCAGGCTTAGAAAGGATGCTCTGTTCAGGGAGACAGTCATCATAGCAGTAGCATTAACAGCAGCCAGGCTATGGGTTTGAGTCCCCAGTGCTGCTCCCTCAGCTGGGCCTGCCACTCCAGGTGACTCTCATGATATTACAGAGCAAGGGACAGTGTGGGAAGTAATTAGGAATAGAGTTAGTAATTAGGAATAGAGTTCTGTGGAGTGACAACTGGACCTATGGTCATTACTGGAACAATTAGAAAGAGTTCAAGTCATCGTCTCCTAGAAAAGACCTGTGGGATAGCAGAGGATTTCAGAAGCCAGGCTTTTTGGAGAAGCCAGAGGCTTCCCTGAGGTACCAGAAGCATGGGGCTATCAGGTGTGAAAAGAACCTAGGCATTTAGCTCTTGGCTCTGATACATTTTTCTTGGGAGTATCCCCTAACAGTAGGGATGGCTAAATGTACCTCACTGGACTTGCTCACTATCCCTCATACTTGGCCCCTGAGGCTAATGAGAATCCTTCCCTTGGTTTATGTGAAGAGATTGGTTTGTATGTTTGCTGAGGATGGCTCTGGGCAGTGATAGAGGCAGTCAGACAGTTAGAAAGCTAGGCTTATCCTACAGTGGGCTGTTTCTCAGTTTCTCCTCCAAAACAAACCTCACCATGTATACCTAAAGTGGCTGGGGCTTTGAACCCCTCTCTCATCTTTACCATGGTGGCAACCTTAGGGACTTGTACAGAAAAATGGGAGGTGTGTTCATTTGTTGCTGCTAGTTCAATAACCTCCTTGTCTTTGCTTTCTGCTGCACGGAGTAGAACCCAGCTGTTTGGGCCCTACCCCAGGTAAGACTGCAGTGTGGTAAGTCTGCCGTCTCCAGATCCACCACAGCTCCCATGGGCACATGGACCTCACTCTTGCACCCAGGGAAGGCTCATGAATTGTGTTTGCTTCCCCTATCCCTCCACCAATAGCCTACTGGAGAAGGTTGAACAGGAAACATGGCGCGAGACCGGCATTTCCTTTGTGACCTCTGTCACCCGCCTTATGGAACGTCTTCTTGACTACAGGTATCTTCTCAGGCACCAACACAACCTTTTCTCTGGTCAGGATGCTCTCTAGCAAGAAAATTCATTACCTTAAAACTGAGACCATGTGCCCATCATGGGGAGGACTGTTCTGATGTTGGGTGCCATCACCAGTCATTAGGAATCTGCCGATTACCAAGGAGGCGGGGAGGGAGAGCATGAATGTGTGCACCTTCACCCAGGAGTAGGCTAAGGCTTCCTTGAATCCTCCACTAAAATGTAGGCACATTCACCTAAGAAGCATCCCAGGGCCAAGTAGCTATCTGGCTTTCCCTCCAGAAAAGTCAAGGCTCAGGTGAATGAGGGCAGCATGGGGGAAAAGCTATCTACAAAGCAAGGCAGGGAACAGCTGTAGGTCGTTAGTGCAGAACTTCTTCAGAGTCATTTGGTAGATGAGCAGGGAAATATCACCCAGAGGACTTTCAGTTGACTTTTCCGGGGACTGGGGAGCCCCAGTTTTCAATACATATATATATATATTCTTTGCCTAAAGTCTATTTCTGTCCCCTGGTCCTGGCCAGAGCAGACTAGAGGAAACAACCCATGAGCTCAGAGATCTTTGTATTATGTTCAGTCTGAGAATTCATGTGGAATTAGAATTTATTAAAATCTGTCTTCCTAATCTATCCTGGCTTTCAATTTGTGCAAAAGTGACAATGAGACTACCATTACAGCTTTAATTCTCTCAACAGGGTTCAGGTGTTGGCTAAGGGTGCCTTTACCCAGCCACAAGCAATATTTATCTTCTCTGTGCTATAAGAAATGCAAATCTCAAGAGGGTAGGGGAGCATTTTCAAGCCATGGATCAGAAAATAAGGAAGTTTAGGCCACCTCCAGTTGCTGCTGAAGTAGAACATGCTGCTATGCAAAAGACTCAGGTGTCCAATACACTGGCCAAGATAAT